CTCCCACATTCTTTACTTTCTTGTCATCGCTTTGAGTTGGGACTCATTATGGCGAATAGATAACCAGCGTTCATGAATTTGGACACGTTGTCGGAAACGGGGATGGAAAAGACGAGACTGGATGTGGGTGTTAATGATCTTTTAGACCGTTACTACTCTTGTGGGTATTGCTTTGTTGTCTGGGGGAGAAGGCAGTGTGCTCTGAATGGCCCATTGATTTCAGGCGTGTGGAGACTTAAGACACATGCACACAACCACATGCACGCGCACACAGACACACATACACACAGGGAGTCTGGGAGGCTCTGTGAGGTTTAGCAGAGCCTGTCTCATCTTCCCTGTCTATCCTTTAAGCTGTGTTCTGCTTTCTCACTAAATGCATGGTGGGCAGCTGGGCTGCCCTGGCAGAATGACAACTGTGACTGGTGAGAGCAGGGCAGAAATATCTCTCTGTGGGGCAAGCAGGTACAAGCCCGATACCATCCAACACTCAGGCCAACTCTGACTGTTTCTATGCTCTCTAAGGCTGTAGTGTAATGATCTCCTGCATCAATGTGCATGAACAAGGGAAGGTGCATGAAATGAGAAATATTATATTAGGTGCCCGTGCCCTATTTGGCTGTTGGGATATTGATAGACACAGTTGTTGCGGTCATCATTAGGCCATTCCCGTGTTCAACTGGGAGTAAGATATAACCAATGTGTATCAGCAATTCTGCTCGCACATTGTTTTTGCCTCCTCGTGTAAGATTTCATGATTTTCATAAAATTCCTTTTCCTCTTAGCTCCTTTTTTCTCACTGAAGCACCTCATTCCTTAAACCACTCCACTACCCTGCGCCCATAGATCCAATTCCCAGTCTCTCCTCTCCTTCCCCCATTAAAGCTGCAGGGGAGCGGTGGCTCTCCTCAGGTCTCCAGTGGTCATCCAGTGACAGAGTGGAGTCATTATAGTCTGGAGCTGGGATATCTATACCACAATAAGTGAGAGGGAGACTAATGAGCGACTAGATGACGGGGAGTGTGTTAACGCTGCCATTAACTAAACAGTTGTAGTGCTAAATTTGTATTTTTAAAATGAGAAACGCTTTCTTCTAATCAATTGGCAGAGACGACAACTCGCAGTGTCTCTGTAATGACCTGTTGTGCCAGTTTAGAGAGGCTAGCTGTCACTATGGGAGTGGTCTCATCAAATCAAGGTTCTGTAGTTTAGAGTGGATTTGATTGTGGCTTTGCTTTCTTTGGGTAGCCTGATAACCTCTCCCTGTATACATGTTTGAAAAAGAGAGAGATAGAAAGTGATACGGAGAAAGTAGAGAAAAAAGTGAAGGGTAATGAGTTTATTTCTCCATACACCCCTTCTCCCCCTCCCCCATATCTCCCAGAGGGAAGAGGAGCCTCGTCAAAGCCCTGTCATGAATTTTTAACAACCCTGTCGGTCTGCTCTCTTAGGTGTGTGTATGTGTGTGCGTGTATTTGCATGTGCATGTTTATTTACAGTTAGTGTGTGAGGGATATAAGGGTATATTGAAATATCCTGTATTCTCCATTAATGTTAACAAATTGCTAGAGCATGACGCATGATGTATAAAGCATTGAACGGCTGTTGCTTATACATGCATGTATCATATCATATACAACATCATGGAGATAACTGTAATCAATATCCATATGTTCACGCACCGCTGTATGTGTGTTTCTGCATACATTTGCAGTGAAAGTATACATATGCATTTAGCAAGTTAGCCACATTTTGAAAGATGGTCTAGATGTGTGCATAGTGATGAATCTCAGTTAGCTCAATGGTGTGACATTAACATGATATGATGTTACATTGACATTAGCTGACATTAATGACAAGGCCCTCTGCATTTGGCCTTTTCAGCATAGATATGAACGGCTGCGCCTGCTTTTCCTCAGGTGGTACATTATTATAGTTTTAAATCTTATCCTTCCTGTTGTTCATGAAACACACAAAAATTTGGTTTTTGTTTTGAATATTGTCACCTTGAATGTACGTATTTGCAGTGTAGGTGTCACTGAATTTAACTATCAATAAGAACCAAATGTGATCAAATACGACCACACCCAGTTCTACCTGCATTGTTAAAACCCCAGAATACTCACGTGGATACAAATATTGTGGTCGCTATTGACGGTAGCGTGGCTATTTATAAATCATGGGTTTGTGCGAGATGTTCCATGTCGCATTATTGAAGATTCTCTCTGACCAATCAGTGGTCTGCAGTATGTTAACTACACCTTCAAGTACTTTCCACAACTTTTGCTGATGGAAACGCAAAAATAACCCTTGAAAGGTGTAACGAACTGAACTTAATTGGAGTGCTTGGTGGAAATGCGGCTTTAAAGTGGATAACAAGGCACCAAATGTCTTTTCCTCGCGCTAAGGCGCCAAGTCCGAAATGTTTTCAGACTATTCATAAAATGATTGTACTTTATTGGAGCTATTGGTTCAGAGGTAAATATCTAGGCTGAATCATTGAAGTAGTGTAAACACCGTCAATGTAGGGTGAAAGCAAGCGTCATCATTGACTATTTGATGGAAACTATTTATATATATCGAAAACATATGATTTAATACTTGATGCAGTGACGAGACTTGCTATTTTTGCACATGATGAACATGGTGCGTAATAACTTTGTGATCACTATTTTGTGTTTTTGTGTATGTGTGTATATGGCTCGAATAGGGTGTATATTTAGGCCCTGACAGCCAGTGCAGAGGAGGTGGAGACAGGTCTGGAACAGAGCCCAGGACTGGAGGCCAAAGGGATGGGACTGTTGATCAAGAATGGAATCATTGCCGACAGCAGACACATGGCCATCGACACACTTAGTAATAGCACAGAATGACACATACTAAAAGCATCTAATCCAGTCTTTGCTCATGCACAGATCTAACATGGCCTTTGTTATACTTTCTTACTTGCACAGTCAAACAGATGGAGATTCAGCTATAAATAAAGTTTAACGCCATCAATTCTTAATGCATCAATTCATTAAAAACACATCCCTGAGTGGAGTATCTGTGAGGCTATGGTAACTTTGCTGTTGTAAAGAAAGTCAGTGTGTCAGACAGGTGGGCTTATTTAAGGACAATGCTTTCCTCCACTGGGTTAGGAGGTCAAAACTCCAGCAACACTTTTATAGAACAACTTCATTGTAAGACAAACCTGTTTTGGCTTGTGGCCGTTTCGGCTTGTGGCCTTTATCATGGGTTAAAAAATCAAGTGATTATCATGAAACACATTACAAACAACCTGTTTTTCCCTTCTCAATGCACCTTGGTAGTAGGTGAAATTGTGCCAGAAACCCCCACTTTGCTATCTTTTGCTATCACAGGGTTGTCATTGCAGTACCTTGTAGGATATAGAAGAAAATGTTCCTTCTCCAAACAAGTTGGAATTGTTACCAAGCAGTTTTAATGTCTGTTTTTACTTTTATTTTGGTTGACAAGGTTTGTTTTATTGCTGCAATAAAATACCTTGTAATGTTTTGTGAACAATAAAATTCATTAAAACATCTAAATGGAGGGGTGACCCTGTCTTAGACTCCAGAAAATAAATATCTTTTGTGAACTAATGAGTTTGAGTAAAGGATACAAATGTAAACTTTAACATGTCTACTGCATCCAATTATGACTCTATGTTTATACAACTTGACCTGTTTCGTTTCACTTTGTGGGAAAACGGGTTCCCACACAATTTTGTAGCAACGTCAACTATTTCAGGATAACAGCAAGGCTGACAGTAGTAGGTGGTAAGAAGTGGGTAAGGGGACCTTGTCCCCCCCAACTTTAAGGTCCTGTCCCGATTTGGCGTCACGGCTGATGTGATCCCATCAGGAGATGGTTTGATCTTGTTTTAACACTTCTGGTAGCCGGACACCTTGTCTTATTTTAAGAAATAATATCAAGTGAAAATCACGTAGTGCAATGGCTGCAATGGCAATGTGCCTGTTTCAAGCATAACAAAGCTTATATCTAAAAATGTCTCTTCATTTTGATTGGGCACTTTTACAGTGAATGCAGTCTTGACATTTCAAAACTCTTTAAAAATGCATGAGTTAAATAACTTCACATAATAACTGTAAAATGTAGAAATCAGATCTCTGTCTCCCCCATTTTCTGTGTTTTTGTTTTCTTGTTAGTGTCCTCAATGTTGCCCTCATTTCCCTCAAAAGGAAAGAATAATGATGGAATCAAACTTTGAAAGATCACGAAGAAAACCAGTTAAAGCATTGAATGTATTGTGCAATTGGAAGGCAATGTCTCAATACCACAGTATTCTTCCACAATTTTAAGTGCAAATACCAAACCTGTGATGTTTCAGTTATGAATGAATGCTTCCCTGGATCTCTACAGCGCACGGCAGTCATTTGTTCCCAGAGTGATAAATATGTGCTGTTTAGTATGTTGTTGTCTGTTTTATTGCTTGTACTGAAAGAAATGTTCTAGTGCGATAAATGAACTGCTCTTCGTCTTACCACTATTCTCTTTCTCTCTGTTGCTTCTGAGTGTGAATGTGTGTCCACTGCGCATGTTAGAGAGTTGTGTAGAGCAATGGTGAGGTTAATTACAATTACATCCCCCTGTTATTTAGTAGTATCCAATTTGATTGACTGCTTTGCTAATCAATTTGCACTTGACTTTATTCAAAGTTCTGGTGTTTCTTTCACACTCTCTCTCACTCACACATACACACACAGACACACTACTCTCTTACAGTACAACCTTTTCATTCTGCCAGTACTACACTGTGGTGTGGCCTTTAGCAGACAGTGCTGTAGGACTGTGACAGCCCTGTGGTGTGAGCTCTGCAAGTGAGATCATAATCACTTATCCGTGTCAGGGATAGTGTCCATTGTGCATTTTTAACATACTCTCTTTTGCTCAGGCTTTTTATAATTAGACTGAGACTGTGGAGGAGGTATACCTTGTGCAGTTTTCAATCTAAATCCCTGTCATATTTCACTCCCCAGAAACTGGCCACAGCTGCTGAGAAATTCCAGACGGAGCATAGGTGGGAAGACGAGTTTGAGGTAACAGAGGGACACAAAAATACAGACAGGAATACTTGCAGCGCAAGTATAAGTATGTTTTATGTATGTGTATTATATACTGTATGTGGGTAAAACACAGGGAGATACTCATTAAACATTAATGGCCATGCATTTGATCTGAATTTCCAAGCCATAAATTATTTTCATTGTGTGAATAGGTTTAATCTGTTTGCATCTGTGTGTCGTTAGCAGTGATTACATCTCCATTACTAAGTTGGTTTATTGCATATTATACTCTGTGTTGTGACTCATTATTCCCTCATTTCAGATGACAGATACTCTGATTTCTAAGAAATACAGCGGCACGCAATTATAACGCAGAGTAAAGTGGCGGTCAGGAAAAAGTACTTGTCACAGAGATGGTTATAGATGTGTCTAAGCTGTGGATTGCCATATTGCCTTCTCAATGGCAGAATAATGCTTCCCTGGAGCATTGAAAATGGCTGTAGGCACACAGTTATAGATGTAAAAAGAGGAACACTCTACACACTCAGCTTAACTCTTACAGTAATCATGTGTATGGTAGCACAGACTAGTGTCTTCATTAACATAAAACTGGAGAATTTACTAATGGAGTTGATTGCCAACAAAATAAAGAGCTATTTAGAAAGGGATTAAGCATTTCATGATTGCATAAATGTTACGCTTCTTTGTGCAACACCCTAAAGCAGCCACAAAGTGATGTTTGTGCTTCTGTGTGACTTGTTTACAGGGTGATGAAATCTCCTACTACAACGCAAAGGACAACGTGAGTGCCTTTTATTTGCTCTCCTTCCATATTAGCCCCTGCAAACATACAGGTCACACTCAGACATGGGCCAGTAATATGGTGTTGCTACACATCACCCTCTCTCTCTTGTCCTCCCTTTCACCTCCTCATCTTCCCTCTCCTCAACTTTCCTTCTCCTATTCACCACAATGGTATCTTATTTTTTTCACTCTCGCTTTCTATCATTGCCTCGGCCTTTTACTGCAATCCCTCCCTCTTTTGCCTCCTCCCCAGGCTTTTCTTGCCATGTAGCTTCCTCTCCATCATCCCTCCTCCCACCCTCTCTCAGGTGAAGAGGTTTCTGCCATGTTCCTCCTCTAATTGACAGATGAGATGTATGAGCTGGCTACTCTGTTGCTTTATTAGGAAGCAACTCACACTCCCCCTCCCCCCCTCTTGCTTTTTCTCTCTCCCTCCACCTCACTCCCTCTCTACCCTGCATTCTTTCCTTCATATCTCATCATGCTTTTCTTCATATATCTTCCTGTCTGTACTGCTCTCATTGATGTAAATTGGTGAATGCACACTAGGAGTGATAAATCTCCACAAAGGGGCATAGGCAATCTTGCTGTCTCTCGCTTCTCCTCCGAAGTGAAGATGATAAGAATGCGAGAAAGTAAGATATTAGGAATACAGGCGATGCTATTTATTCTTAAACGAGCTGGGAGGGTGTGAAAAGTGCAGCGATGACATTCTCACATCAGACAGGAGTTAATGAGGAATATAATCAGTCCTGTGCTTTTAAATATACCTACAAACTGTTTTCTGCGTGCAACGACGCTTCAGCAAATAGGATAACAAGGCTTTGTGTGGTGTCTTCAACCCATTACTGTCTGCATCTTGATTTATTTTTCCCCTCAGCTGGATGCAAATGAGACAGAGGGAAGAAAATATAGGATTCGGCCAGACTTTAAAGAGGACCCATCATTTAAACGTTTGACTGATCACAACCACACGGCTGTCCACATCCCCACTGACATCTATGATGGCTGTAAGTACACGCACACAAACGCACACGAACCACAGTGATTACCATGGATACAAGTGACACACCAACCCATTATGACATGTTGTTTACAGATAGTCCCTCTAGCAAATGTGCCCATAGTTAAATGATGAATGAAGTTTTAAAAAAATGTGATACAGCATAATAGCATCTTCTCCTGTCCTCTAAGCCATGTGTCCTTGGGATGTAAATGAATAGAGGATCCTCTAATGAAAAAAAGCTGTGCCTTTGTCTGAGCAAACATATCAAGGTTTTGATAAAGAATCTTTTGATTCAAACTGTTAATGTGTCCCAGGGCTTTAAATTCATTGAAGCATAATCATTAATACAAAGACGACTGATACAAATTCTTGCCAAGGAATCTGCATTCTATACATACATACATATAACGATAATCCTGCAAGGTTTTATTTGGAAATATGTCTTTCTCCACAGTATGATAATTGTTAAAGTATTTTTTATTCTATTCTACTTACCTGCCCAATACTATCTATACTGTGAAATCAGTAGGGTATGTACCGTTTGTTGGGACCGAACAGTGAGTTTTAGCATCCATTTCATCACTAGTGACAGAGGAATTATGCTGCTTTCATGACACAAGTTTGTGCTGCCTGCTAACCGAGAGGTCTCCAACCACTGTGACCTCGAGCAATGCATTTTTACAACAAAGAAAGGATCATTAATAATAATATGAATAATAACTTTATTTATACAGCACCTTTAAAAACAGAGTTTACAAAGTGCTTTGACTTTGCAATAAAACCACAGCAAGCTCAACAGTGAGGCCCAACAAAGCAAGACAAACTAAGGTAAGAGTTAAACCCTGATAGAACAGTACAATAGATGAAAAGATAAAACCAATCAATACAATAAAAATAAACTTAATTGCACTTACTGTTATCAAATCTGGGCCAGTAACTGTTTGATGGCCATGTTCATGTTGTCATTTGCATTTCAACTGTCTGGTATTGTAGTTTATGCCTATGTAAAGCAATTTTATATTTGAATGAAACATATGTGCATCTGTTCAGAGTGTGTTTGCTCTGTAAAAAAACAAAACATTTCTGATCATTTCATCATCATGTGGTGACATTTACCTTGAGTGGTTCAGGGTAATTTGATTCTCTAGAGTCCCTGTGACATTAGCACAGCTCTCAAGTTGAATTTCAATGACTTAAGGATTGTCTGTTGAATATCTTAACTGTGGTCTGAATTATGTATTATATCTTAATAGCTTTCTTTTCTTCTATTTTTACATTTTGAGCTCTTTAGTGGGGTTCTTATCATAGTGTGACTTACAACGAGCAATAAAGCGTTCAGTGCCTTGCTCAAGGATACTTCACCAGGACACATGGTTCACAATGAGTTTGAACAGTTACAGGAAAGGTTCTCCTACCACCAGGCTGCATTGTTACTGCTTGGCTTGTGCTTGTGTATTTCTATCTGTGGCTGTGTGAGACTGAGTATCTGTTTAGTATGTGTTTAGATATTCAGTTATTAGTATACAGTGGGATGTGATGCGTGGGAAGGACAGCAGGATGGAGTGACTTCCTCAGCATGCCCCTCAGCCTGCTGGGGAACCGTCTGGCCTCAAGGTTACACACTTCACCTTTCTGCTGACCCCAAACACAGGGGCAGAAATGAGGGATAGGGATGGCACACATTGTTCTCAGAGTCTGCTATCTGTAAATGTGCAAGCCTATTTTCATTAGCATGCTTTTGAACTTGTTGCGACTTTATAATTTTTTCCCCCAGAGACACCTCTCTGGCTATAATCTGGGCTGGGTGCCATGACTCCTCATACTGCTTTTCTCACAAGGTGCTGTTTATTGGTGGCCTGTAATGAGTATGCATAGACACACTGAGCTGCTGGGACCTGTTCAGGGCTGAAGTCTGATCTCAGTGAGATGAAAGAAACTATATGTGTGTGCGGAGGTCTCAAAGCTGGTAGCAGGGTTGCACCCAACAATTATTTTTTTATTGATGATTTTGATAATTATTTTCCCGATTAGTTGATTAATCTAACTATATCTATCTAAAATCTTTAAGAAACAATACTGAACCTAAAATTCAAGAGGACTGCTGCGGCACAGATTACCTTCATTACTGTATGTCATAGCAAGTCTTTCCATGAACTGGGGAATCATTATTTATACTTAAGTACTTGACTTACAACTACAAATGGTTATGATATAGATTGATTCAATCTCTGGAGTAATATGCAGTTCAGGTACTCAAATATATTTTTGCATCAGTGTGGGGCAAGGGAAATAATTGAAACGATTTACGGATTACGAACACTCTATTACGTTAGTTACATCATTTTTCTCATTCTCTTAAAATAAACAGAAAATATAAATGCCCAAATAACAACAATAGATGACGCATGGTGTAACATCACCATAACAGAAGTGGTTCAGACATTTCTTTAAGATGGGACGATGCTGTAAATCTAAATGTAAATTTCTGTAATCGATGACGTTGATTATGTTGACTAATCGCCCCAGCCCTAACCGGTAGTATACTCACGGAGTGGGGAACAATCTTATGGACTGAAAAGCCAGTCCCCACTAGTTTATTTTGAGGTTGACACAAGGTTTTAGGATTAGGCTAGAGTTAGAGTAAGCCCAAGGGGTAAGATTGGGCATGTGGTGCTGATGGAAATGGGATACAGAAGGAATATATTCAAAGAAGAGTCCCCACTTAAATAGCAAGAACAATATGCGTGTCTTACAGTGTGCACGCGCTCATATAGTGTGTCAGATATTGGCACACATGCAGAAGTATATGTTTTTTATGCCTGGAGAAAAAGTGAGACAGAGGATTTATACGTTATTGCGGTTCCAACTCTCCAATTTGATCTCCACCCTATAAATGTGCCAGGAATAGCCTTTGCTCAGCTGGAGAAAATTGGATTTTCTGGGCAAAGTGGGAGGCAAGTTTATGAAATCAGCTTCTATAGGCAGCAGCATGTCACGTGTGTGAGACAAGTGTACAATAGGAAGCAGACATTCACTTCAGATGACAGAAAGATCACAAAAGCCACATCTGTTGGTCCAGTCAAGGATATGGTCACATGTGTGAAATCAGTGGTGTTGCTTTTGGATACAGAAGCTGAAAATGTATGTTTACAAAATGTATGACAAAAAACATTTTGAAGAGAACAGTATAAATGATATTCTTGATCTGCATGATAGAATCCTTGCTAGCAGTCTTTCTCTTCCAGAAAAACAGAACAAAACAGCCGACAAGAAAGACAGCAACACACGGTGACTCAACACAGAAAGCTTCCATTTTTGAATAAAATCTAAACTTCTATAAACGGCATACCCTATTATATACAGCGCTACACCTGGCCAGTGCTAGGTTCTACTACTACTACCTTGCTACACTGTTGATCTCACTGTCGCTACTGGATGAAACACATCACTATATCACAGGGAATCTTTCTTTAGTAGAGTGGCCATTCTGTTCTAGACATAAAGTGGTGATGAGTGTATGAGGGGATGGACTATTTAAAGCAGTGAAATACAATTTACACTTTAATGTTCAAAATAAACTAATCCATATTATGTTAGTGAAGTATATTGCACCCCTGATATCCCACCGAGATGAAGTCATCGTATGCTGTAGATTCAGTGTGGCATCAAAGCCATGCCGACTGCAGGCCATGGAATTCATTAGTGTCAGTGGCAATATGGGCAACTGGAGGATACTGTATCCCTTATGAAGCAGCCGTGGAGTTTAGCTTATTAAATAGTATGACTAAAGAAGATGACATTAAAAAGAACATATTACCACTGGGTTATGTGTTTTTGGTTTGTTTAGCACTGTATTTTGGTTTGTTTGCATAGACTATGTATGTGTATACAGTATATTCTGTGTACATCTTACTATAAAGCCATTCGGCTATCTACATAGCTATTAGCAAACCTGTGTGTAGATAGCCATCTACCTTTCTGTCTGTCTTCATCAGCCTTCACTTAAAAATCACACATACAGTTTGTACTTTTCTCATTATCTAACAAGGGCTGTGGTGTTATTTCCTCTCATTTCCCCTTTAAAATTCTACCCTTAATGAGCGAAATACATTACTGAGCACACACACCACATGCTTTCTCTCTCTCTCTCTCTCTCTCTCTCTCTCTCTCTCTCTCTCTCTCT